CCTACCAAAAAAAAAACCAAAAAACAAACAAACCACCAAACCACAACAATTTATAAACAGGCACAAATCAGCCAGTCATGGACTCTTATTCTATCTTGCCTTGCAGGTCAGTTCTTGAGCCATGAAGTAAAACTTCTCCAGGAATCCCTGAACACAAGTCATCAGGAGGTCAGGCAGAACCAAACAGAGGCGTTGAAGGCAAACCCTACAAACACCCTGAAGGTGAAGGGGAGGCTGGTTCCTGTGGTGTGGAAGCAGAGGAGGATCTACAATGGGCAGCAGGAGGTTGAGTGCTGGTTTGCCAAAAACAACGCGGACAAACTGATCGATGGGAGCTACCAGGACTATTTGGCTTCTCATCCCTTCGACACGGGGACCAGCTTTGGGACAATCAACAGCTTTTGAAACTGGTCACAGCAATACATTGCAGCAGCATGTGGGATAGCAGGTCCCTTCTGAAGCCTGTTCTAGGCAACTTATGAGTGTTTCCTTATCTTTTGGTGCCAAAGAAACCAAGGATTTTGTCCTTGGAAATCAGCTGTCTCTCTTTCATGCTAAATGAATGCTCATCAGATTTCTGAAGAAAAAGAAGGCTGGGGGAAAGGACGTGGTTAAAGGCATGATTGATGCTCTCTCAGTGGGAAGGGCGGGGGGAAAAATGAGCCAGTGAACAGTGCAGAGGCTGCTGGCCTTAAAATAAACCCATGCAGGGATCTGTGCAAAGCCCCCTGGGGCTGGTGAGTCACCCCACGAAAGGCAGATCATACAGAACAGAGCCTGTTGAGGTGATAGGCTTTGCAAAGAAGTGACTTGGAGCACCTGCTCCAACCTTGGTCCATGGGGAAAGGGGAAAAAGACAAAAAGAGAGAGGAGAGGTGGGTGGGTATCCATCTGCAGCGACCCATTAGCATCAAATAAAATCAAAACCTTAAATCAACAGGCCACAGGAGGGTATTGCTTTCCTGGTTAGTGGGATGAGGTCTGGATTTGCCACTAAACATGATGATCCCTGAATCACTACAAACCCTTAGAACAGTGGTGAAAACCTTGATGGGGTTTTTGCTGTCTTGGTGCGCAGGCTGTGTGCTTAAAAAGCACCTCTGGTCCTCAGCAGCAACAGCAGTGGTGCAGGCTCCCATTCCATGGAGCAGTTAATTCAGCATAATTCAATTTAAACAACATTGCAGGGTTGGTGATTTCTTGAGTCTTGACTCCCTCAGGAGGAAACAAAGTTCCACCATGAGCTTCCAACAGATCTGCCATGTCCTTGAGCATCACACTCCTCCTGCTCAGCAAAGATTAAAACTTCCTAAGGGATGACAACCCAGCACCCACAACAGCTGGTGAGCCTACAAAGCAGCCTCTTGAATTTCTACTAGACAACCCTAGCTGCTTTTGTAATCAGGGAGGAAGTCTTTATTTATTCCAAATTGTCAAAAAATTTTCATCCCATTTTCCCCTGGCTCCTTCTCCTTCCTTACCCTGCAGGAATTTGTGCGCAGCAGGAATTTGGCAGCAGGAGGTTACAGAAGGGTCTGCCAGCCACCCCCACTGCAGGTGGTGCTCCAAACCCAAAACTGCAAGGCTGTGCTGTGTTTTAAAGTGAGGCATCACTGAGCAATGCTGCAGATCAGCCACAGGGGAGTTTTAGCAAAGAGCTTGTCCAAAGGGGACTTGACAACCACAAAGACATTTTCATGGCAAGGCCAAACTGAGCTCATGAACACTCTGCCTTTCCAGAATTGAAAAGGAGGGAGGCTGGGTGTGGAAGCATCTCCAGGAATTAAATGACATCCATGTGTTAGGAGAAAACAGTTGCCAGGGACCCACAGAAATAGGTTCAATCTTGACTGATTTTTTTTTTTCCCATATTTAACAATTAAATCATATTGTTGCTGTTGGAGCTCCAGCTGCTGGGGGTGGGGTGGTGATTTTCCAGTTGCCTGATCAGCTCGTTAGTGCTGCAAGCACCGTGGCAGCAGAGCAGGTGGCAAGCATGGTTTCTTGACTCACACCATGTGCTGCCTGCAAACAGCCAAAAGCAACCAGCAAGATTGAACTGCACTCTGGAAGATCCTTACAGAGAGCTCAGCTAGCACAAAATTCGTGCCAAGGCTTGTACTTTGGAACAGAACATAAAGAAGAAACTACTGCTTTGGGCCCTGCTATCTTGAGAAATAGCTCCCCTGCGAGGGAGAGCTGAAGGCAAGGCCTTCAGCACAGTTCTGAGTGTGGAATAATAACACTAAATAATAGTAATAATAAGGTTTAATGCTCTGCAGTTTTCTTGTGGGCCAGGAAGAGATGAGGAAGAACAGCTGTGAAGCTGACTTCTCTGCCCAAGAAGAGAGGAGGAAATCACCCAGGGCCCACACCCAAACAACCTCCCCTTTCACTGGCATGGAGAAAACAGGAAAGTGGCAGGGGATCTCTGGAAACCCCAGGGTTTGGCAGGTGTCTCCATGCTGTCCTTACTGAAACGTCCCCTCTCCTCCCACATTGTGCTGTCCACGTGTATTGCAAAGGGGAGGGATGGCTCAGGCTCTCCCTCATCTCCTCTGTATATAGATATGTATATAATATATATATAAACACACACCTACTGCTGATAATTCATCATTGCTCCTCTTTCTCCTCCTCCAGCCAAGGAAACACATTTCTTTCAGGGCCTGAAGGTAACAAGGATGAAGTCCAATGAAGCACCTGGAGCAATATACTCAAGGTCTCCTGAAGGCTCCAGTTATCCATTTCACAATAAATATTTTACAGTGAACACTGCAGTGAAGCTTTCATTTGGCAAAGATAAAAAACAAGCTTTGAAGCTAAGGTTGTGTGTGTTTTATGCTGCTGGACAGGCTCATGTTACCAGGTGACTGAAGGGGCCACTCACCAGTTAACAATAAGTTGGGAATAAGTAATTTCAGTGGAAAGTTAAAGGTCACTGATGTTCTTTAGTCTCTATACACTTGTTAGGAGGCAAGAACAGACCCTAGGCTTCTACCCCCACACGAGATGAGAATTTAACAACACTTTAAATACAGCAGAACAGGGCACGAGAAAACAGTTTGTGCTCCTGCTGCCCCAAGAGCAAAGACTATGGACTGTAAATTCCAATTTTTTCAGCTCTGAAGTGAGCATCACGACACCTCCTTCTCTCATATGGGGAGGAATATGAGAATATTGAGAATATGAGGGGGAGTATGTTCAAGCATGGTCCTCACATCCCTTCATGCTGTCCCAGAGAGCTCCCAGGCCTCTGTGCAGTCATTGCAGTGAAGTTGCATTTGTTCCCATCTCCAAGAGTGTCACAGAGCACTTGGATTCACAGGGATGTGCCCAGTGATTGCTCAGACAGCTCAGGAATGAGGCTGAGCACTCACTCTGCAGTGCAATGGAAACAATTGCATGGATTGCATGGCACCATTTCAGAGATGGGAACAGGGCTGCTGGAACAGCACTGGCTACACAAGGATTGAGAGGGAAAACCTTCCCCCACATCTTACTTCTCCTGCTATTGCTGATTGTGAACTTCCTCAGCCTCAACTAAGAGCTAAAATGAAGATCATGTCACTCACAGTCCAGTTTAGGACAAGGACACTGCTTTGGCCAAATTTGCACTCTTCACCCACTGCGGGATTGCACTGTGCAGCCCCATAGCAAGAGCAAAACTCCAAAAATACCAGTGTTCCTCAAAACAGGGAGCAAGTTTCCAATAGGGAAGCTGTTTCCATCCGTTTCCAGTCAAAACCTTGCACAGCACAGAACTTATTCCACCCTTATCAGTGCAGAACTGCCCCAGACAAGCAGCAGTTGTGCTGTGAAACCAACTGCACTGAGCAATATAAATAATCCATTCAGAGAGCTGTGTGCCATGTGTTCCAAAAGCCTTTTGATGTGCCAGCAGAAGTAGGATTCTGACCCTTCATTAAGGAAGAAAAACAAAAAAAAAAAGACTTAATTTCCAGAAAAACAGTTTAAAGCTGCACAGCTGCAAGTGTAGCCAAGCGTGTCTCACTCACTGAGGGGCATCCCAGACTTTGATTTGCATCTAAGGCTTCAAACCACTTTGAAGTCAGGAGAAAAACAACAAACCAAACCCCCAAAAAACCCCCCACCAAATATCTTCTCATGCTCCGAGCTCAGCCTTCACATCTAAATCCAGCCAAGTTAGAAAATCCAAATCCTTTAATTTTCACTCCTTAACAAGGGCTGTTTTCTTGGGGAAAAATACAAGGGGAAAAGGAGAAATAAAAGAACATTCCCACCCATCACTTAAGGGAGGTTGTGTTGCAAGAAGTAAAGGCTGTCTAAGGCTCCATGAGGGATCCTGGATCCCTGCTCCAAGGACTATCCCCCCATTTGGGCTCTGGCTGGGTCTCTGCACAGCTGTGTCTGCATCCAGCCTGGGAGTGGGCTGGTGCAGCTGCTCTGTGCTCACCCTCTCCCCAGGACAGCTGCAAAGTGTTTTGCATTTTTGTGTTTATGCACAAATACAGAGGAAAGCAAACAGGGCAAGGCCCTGCACTTCACACTTGGAGCAGAAAGTGCCAGTTTTGGGGTGAGCCAGGGGCAGCAGCACCACCCCAAGTCCTTCCTTACCCCAAAACAGGGCTGGCTAATGGGGCTGCAGACACAGCTTGAATCAGATCCTGCAGACATTTCAGCTGTTTATTTTAAACTGAGTAAAAGGGGAGCTGTCAGCTTCCAGTAAACACTCCCTTGTAAGGTGCTGACTGGGACCCATCTCTGAGTCTGCTCTGGAACCCGGCACAGGCTGAGGCTGCAGCATCAGGCTTTGCACTGAAGCAGCTCCTGCAACCCAAACCAACCTCTGTGGCTCAAGCTCTTTATTTTTAGGTTTACCAGACCAGCCCTGCTGCAAACAGAAACACAGTCTCACCTGTCAGAAAATATCTCAATAGCTCCCTTTCTCGCCTTCCTCCCTTTCGAAGTATTGGGGTTGTGCAGAGCATTAAGCACATGAAGGCATTTAATCTATGAAGCAATTTTAGCTCAAAGATTTATTGGATTCCTTATAAAACAGTAAAAAGAATCAGATCCACTGGGACAAGCTTCCCAATTCAAGACATTTAAATACATATTGCAAACCAATTCTTTTGAGCATTGTGCATATAAAAGTGTCACAGTTCAGGTACTACAGAATAGAACCTCTTTTTTTCTTTCTTTTTCTATTAAAAAACCAGACAATATTTTCATCTCAGTCTCTAGCCCTGACAAAAGGAAAAAAAGTCACACCCAGTTGTCCAGCCAGGGAAAATCCATCCCTGTATCCCCAACCTCAACGTGTCTGCATGTGGGGCAGACAGGTAAAGCAGATACTGCTCAAGCCTGTCCAGGATGCACAGACAGCATCCACAATTGCAGGATAGATCCAAGATGAGGCAGGCAAAAGGATCTCTGCAGATCCACAAGGGACACCCGTTTTTCCCCACCCTGCCCTTCCTTGGCCAGCCCAAGGATCACAGTGCTGCTCCTTCCTCCATTCCCTTGTCCTGTTGTTGTGTCAGATGACCACTTGGTAGCTGGGCTGCTTCATCTTCTGGCTGGTTCCCCAGAGCCCTGGAATGTCCTGGTCGCTTTCAGACTGATCAAAATCCATGTCTGGAGAGAGCAATACCTGGAAAGGAGAACAGACAGATGGAACCAAAGGTCTCAGAGCTTCTCAATTCTGCTTGCTGAATGAGTCAAGCATTCCTACAGAGGGGTCTGCTGCCAGATCCAATCCTCTCTGGTGTGATGGTGTTTGCAGGGGTCCCAGGATGAGGGAAGAGACCAGAATGTTGACTCCATGTTTCAGAAGGCTTGATTTATTATTTTATGACATATATTACATTGAAACTATACTAAAAGAATAGAAGAAAGGATTTCATCAGAAGGCTAGCTAAGAATAGAAAAAGAAAGAATGATAACAAAGGTTTGTGGCTCGGACAGAGAGTCTGAGCCAGCTGACTGTGATTGGCCATTAATTAGAAACAATTACATGAGACCAATCACAGATGCACCTGTTGCATTCCACAGCAGCAGATAATCATTGTTTACATTTTGTTCCTGAGGCGCCTCAGCTTCTCAGGAGAAAAAAAAACCTAAGGAAAGGATTTTTCATAAAATATCATGGCTACACTCTGGCAGATGGGTAAGGCCTCAAGGTCATCTAGATCATCTCTCCAACAGCAGCCAAGGAGATTTGGGCACCACAACAATCTGGTGTCCCAGCCCCTTCCTTGAGAGCAGAAGAAGCAGCTGAAGGCTCTGATCCCATGAGACAGAACTCACACATGGCCTGGCTGAAGCCTCAGTGAAGATGCACAAAAATGAGGCCACACATTTTGGGAACAGCTGTACCTCATGTAGACCTTTTCCCAGGCCCCCAGCAGCTTGTCACCTCCACAGCTCAGCCACAAGGGCAAGCAGGGCTGCAGGCTCAGCCTCAGCCATGGAGCCAGCTCAGGAGGGGTGTCCTGGCCTGGCAGCACCTCATTCCCACCTGGCACAGCAGCTCCTGGGAGCCAAAGCACAGCACTGACACCTCTCACTGGTGTTTGAGGCAAAAATTCACATTTTTTTCTTGCTGGAAGACCCAAAGGATCCCTACACCCTCAACAGTTAACTCTACACCATGGGCTGCTCTGAACTGGCTGCCACCAACCTGGAGCATTTGCAAGATGCAGACGGAGCCACGTGTGGGCAGCCACATCCTCTGTTAGAGGAAAAAGGCTGGATTTTATCAAGGAGATGGCTGGCATTGGGTTTCAGCAGAAGAGGTGAAACACAATTCTAGCCAGCCAGCAATGTGCACGGATAATATTCATGGCTGGACAGGTTGGAATAATTGACTCCTCAAGGTTGGAAAAGACCTCCAGGCTGAGTCCCACCATTAACTCAGCACTGCCAGGCTCACCAGTAAACCTGAATGTCCCTGAGCACCACATCTACATGTTTCTTCAACACTTCTAGGGGTGGTGATTCCACCATTTCTCTGGGCAGCCTGTGCCAGTGCCTGTCCACACTTTCAGAAAAGAAATTTTCCTTAATATCCAATCAAAACCTCCTCTGGTGCAACTCAGGGCTGTTCCCTTCAGTTCTTGTTACCTGGGAGAAGAGACCTGGCTACAACCTCCTTTCAGGGAGTTTTAGAGAGGAATAAGGTCACCCCTGAGCCTCCTTTTCTCCTGCATGCCCAGATCCCTCAGCTGCTCCCCATCAGACCAGGCTGTTTGCTGAACCCCATCCCACCCCCATCTCCTCAAACACCCGCATCTGGGCAAGAGACGCTGCACTGTCACCATGAAATCTCCCTGTGCCTGACTCAGCAGCCTCCCAGCTCCAAGACCCAAGACCAGGGATGGATTTTCATGGACTTTGCTCACCCACAGACCATTCCCAAAAGAGCTCAGGATACCTTGGGCAACACCAGGAGCAGAGGGAATCACTCCTATCTGTATCTCCACACACAGCTGTGAATTAACAAGCCCTCCACTTGTCAGCACTCAGGCAGCACCACAGGGCCAGTCACCACAGCAACAAAAGCACCAAACAGGAAAAACAAAACTAACACAACTCCAGTGAGTCAGTGTGACTTCAAAGCAGCAGAGGAGCGGCAGGGGAAGATTTCCTGCTCCCCACCCTCACACACACCCCAGCCCCTCCATCATCCTCCTCACAGTCAGACACCCAAAGGACAGCAGCAGAGCGGATTAAGCTCTCTTGTTGTCCCCCTCATTGGTCTCAAGGAATTTTTTTTTGGTTCAGGACACACACAGGCAAGCTTCCATCTCTCTCACGTGAAGATTTCCTCTGTTTATCACATTCATATTGTGATGCTGCTGGACCTGAAGAAATGTGTAATTACTCACAGGCAGCACTGTGAACTCACTGAGCTCTGACAGGCTGGTTGTGGGGCCTGTGTTGAACTGGTGATTTGGGTGGCTTTTGGCTTTCAGCTGAAAACTCAAATCCCCTTGCAGCCAAGCAGGGATCTGTGCATCCAGACCCATCCAGGCTGCCACCTGCCCACCACACACTGCACAGAATTCACAAAAGAGACCTTCAAGATCATCAAGTCTAAGCCATGCCCCAACACCTCAATTACAGGAAGCCACACCAGCAACAGTCCCCCAGAACCTTTCCACAATTCCCCAGGAAGCAGTACCATGAGAGAGCCCCTCATTGCCATGACAGACACAGAACACACCCTCAGATATCATCTGCAAGCCCAACTCCAGTTTGGGGGTTTTCAGAACAGCCTGGACAAGGCTCTTTCCCTGCAGGTGCATCCAGTTCAGGATCACAGACGGTTGGTGGCACAGCTGGGACCTGTGGCTATTCCTCAGGGCCCAGTGCCAAGAAAGAGTTGGAAAACAAGTCAGCCACTTCTGTATTTCCTCATAAACTTCCTTCTCTGCCCATGGTTTTCCATCCTGGGACAATGTGCTGCTGTCTCACTCAGCAGTCCCCAAACTCCTCACCTTCCACAGAGGGATTTGCCACCAGTCAGGAGGGCTGTGAGGTGGGACAGTTTCCTTCTAGAAGCACCTCCATGTCCACCTCCATTTATCTTCCTGGCACCTGAGTTCACCACGAGTTTGAACTAATTAAAGTTTTTAAAGTAATTTAAAAATAAAAAAATAAAATTGTTTCTCAGCAAATCCAACTTGCTCTTGGACTTTCTAAACGTTTCAATGTAAGTAAGCAGCACTGTATTGGTGTCTATCAGCATCTTCATCTAATGAGTGCCAAAATACAGAGTTCATCTTACAAAATACAGAGTTCCTTATGAAGGGAATTAGGGCAGGTGCTGAACTCCATCCTGACCAAAGGCAGGCCCTCATGCAGTATATTAACTTTCCTTCCAGCCTCTGATTTCACCTTAATTTTTCTCACAAGTACCACTGTTAGTGGACTTTTGCTTTAAGGGTTGTCTCTAAAAATGTAATCCTTCAGGAAAGGAACAGAAACTCATCCACCTCCCTGGGGGGAAAAAAACACAACTGAAAAAAGATCAAATAAAACATTATTAAAACTGACTTGTTTTCCTGAGTGGAGGAAACAAAGAAATCACTGATAAGATCTAAAGTTCATGGGAGTTACAAGGGCAAGGGAAAAGAGCCTTGGGTCAAGGGCAGGACACATACAAAGCAAAAATAAGGGCCTTGCAGATGAAATAATTTCCCCAGGCTGAACAGCACTGGATGCAAACTGGCATTCAAGAGATCCTTTTCTATCCCACAAAAGGGGAAAAAAAAATTACTCCATGAAAATTTACAAGGCAGGGCAGGGGACTGAAACAACACAAAGCTTAAGACTGATGTGGAAGGAAAGAAGGATGAAATTCTTCCAACCATAAGAGGGAGTTTATCCCTTTCAGGGATTCAGTGTAAAAGAAGTAATAAAAGATCATCCTCTGGTTCACCAAAGGATGAGCCAGTGCCCGTGCCAGTGCCTGACCACCTTTTCAGTAAAGAAATTTTCTTTAATATCCAATCTAAACCTCCTCTGATGCAACTTGGGGCCGTTCCCTTTAGTTCTCCTGGGAGAAGAGACTGATCCCCATCTGGCTCCAATTCTCCTCTAGGAGGCTCCAATCCTTCTCCAGGAGGCACAATCCTTCTCCAGGAGGGTACAATCCTTCTCCAGGAGGGTACAATTCTCCTCCAGGATTGCTGCTGCTGGGTTTCTTCTGGCTGCTCCACCAAGCCAAGGACAGAGCTGACCTTTCCTGCTGCCCCTGGGGAAAGCACAGAGCGTGGGCTTCTAACAGGTTAACTCCAGCCCACTCTTTCCATCTCTGCCCCTCCTTCTCCAAGCACAAACTGCTGGTTCATGTGACAATACTGACACTGCCTTGGTGAGATAGGCAGAGGTTTGAAACTGAAGCCAGCAGTGAGTGGGAGCTGGTGGCGCCTGCAGCGAGACGGCCCTGATGAGCCCTGATAAACCTGGGGGACACACCAGCTCTGCTCAGCCCCCCTTCCCCTCCCCTGGGCTGAAATTCCCCCACGTGAACAGGTGATTAGCAGCAACAAGCCCAGCAAATGCTCATTTGCTGCTTCTGAGCCTAAATTTCAGTCAATGCAGCTGCAGGGCTCAGGCAGTCAAACATGATCTGTAGTTCACAGCTTAAGAGGCTGACACCTGAAGCAGGAGCTTAAGGCTATTCCTCAAGGCCCAGTGCCAAGAAAGAGTTGGAAAACAGGTCACCCACTTCTGTATTTCTTCACAAACTTCCTTCTCTGCCCAAAATATTTGTTGGCCAGAGGCACAGGAACGTGTCTGAGCATGAAGGAGGCAATCCCTGCAGACTGCTCCAAGGAAAAACCAGTCCCTTGGTACTGCAGGGATGGATCAGAGGGTTCAGGATGAACAGGTGAGCTGCACATTGTTGAATTTTTGCTGAAGTCTGCAGAGAAAAGCAGTAAGGTACTTGGAAGGTGAGAGAAACCTTTGACAGAAAGTGGCAGGTTGTGGGAATTGTTTCCACTGCTTGAAATCTCCTGCCTGTTGAGCTGCCAGAAGAGGATTTCTCAGCATCTGGAAATTAGCAGGTATTGTTCCTTCCAGTTACACATTTCACAAAAAATATTTTACAGTGAACACTGCAGTGAAGCTTTCATTTGGCAAAGATAAAAAACAAGCTTTGGAGCTAAGGCTGTGTGTGTTTTACGCTGCTGGACAGGCTCATGTTACCAGGTGTCTGAAAGAACCACCTATGAGTTAACAATAAGTTGGGAATAAGTAATTTCAGTGGAAAATTAAAGGTCATTAATGTTCTTTAGTCTCTATACACTTGTTAGGAGGCAAGAACAGACCCTAGGCTTCTACTCCCACACTGAAATGAGAGTTTAACCACAGACTTTAAATACAGCAGAACAGGACATGGGAAAACAGTTTGTGTTCCTGCTGCCCCAAGAGCAAAGGCAGGTCATGGGCTATAAATTCCAATTTTTTACAGCTCTGAAGTGGGCATTACAACACTTCCCTCTCTCACAAGGGAAGATATGTTCAGGCTTGATCCTCACAGCCCTTCATGCTGTCCCAGAGAGGTCCCAAACACCTGCAGTGTTCCAGTGGAGAGCACAAGAGCTGAGTTACTCCTTAGGAAAGAACTCAGAGAGCAAGAGCTATTTCTGTTCACCCTGAATTCTTCAGCAGGAGCTCCTGCAGGAGCCAGGCTGGGATTGCCAGAAATTATCTTATCTTGGTGAGTCTCACCAGTGAGCTGCAGGATATCAGCAGATACACACAGAGCACACTGGAACCAGGCCTGGGTGCCAGGAGAAAGAAAGGAATTCCTCCCAGGGACGAGGAGTGTGGACTCTGCCCAGAGGTCAGTGAGAAGTAGACACCACCTACCCAACAATCCCACATCATTAAGATGAACAAAGTAATCTCAAAGTCTGCTGGAACTGCAGCATTTCCTCCCCCACCAGAACTTTCAAACTGTCAGGCTCAGACTAAACAAAACACAGCCTCCTCCAGCTAAGGGACAATAATCTGGTTGAAAAAATACCAAAAAAACCAAATACCAAAATAGGATTCCCAGCTAAGCCCTGTCCTCTAAAAGGGATGCTAACAATTACAGAGAGGGAAGTAAGCTCTTCCCAGCCAAAATTAATTACAATTAAACACGGCAAAGCTCAGAGGGGCAGTTTTAGCCTGCACACACAGATCCGTGCAGCAGGCAGCTCATCCCCCCAAGACATTGTCATGATCCAGGGCAGTATTGCAGCAGCATCTCCTGGGCTGTGACACTGCTCATGGTTAGAGTGAATTTGACTTTGCTGGGTGATCACCCACATCCATGAAACACCACCCCAGGTCCATGAAATGTGATGTTCTAAACACACAGACCATCCCACAAAGCTGCATCTTCGTCTGAAACACAAGTTTGCATCCCTGGTCTCACCTGAGATTCCTCAGTCCTCCTGGCCCGAGGGGTTTCTGTGGATCCATTGATGTCTAGGGCATCCTTCTGCTTGTATTTCCTCATGATCAAGCTGTCCACAACCCAGAACATAATGGCCTTGGGGGAAAAGAAGTTACATCAGCAGATTACAGAGACCAGAATGCAGAATCAATCAATCACAGATATCTCTTCTCCTCTTGGGTTCTCCAGACATCCAGCCTTAATCAACCTCACATCCAAACCAGCCCTGCATCAATTGTGTCCATGGGGATTGGATGAGTCCAATTCCTTAAGTCCCTTCTTACACAAGTCCTATTGTTTCCAGATTAAATAAAACCACAATAGGCTGAATTTCCACCAGAACATAACCCTTGAACCAAGTTCCATCCAAAGCTCATCTGCTTGAACCAGTCCCTGGTCAGTTCTCTGAGGACCAGAATTTTCTTCCCAATGTGGAAATGCAGCCTGGGATGGTGGAGAGAGGCAGATCAATCCAACTTTGCCAGTGCTGCATCCACTGGAATGTGCCTGGGATGAGCTGAAAGCTCAAAGCTCAATTCCCTTTTTGTCCAGGAGTGTTAACACCTTGTTCCCACTGCCCACCTTAGCAGGAACTGGGCAGCAGCTCAAGGATTACCCAGAATCAGGGGAACCAAGAAAGAGCTGAGCTTTCAAGAGGGTTTTGTCAAACTAGTTTTGAGAAGAACCGTTCTGGGTAACCTTGAGCACCTTGTCTTGCTGTAATACAATCTGACATCCAGCCAAATGACTGTACTGTCAGGGTCACAAGCCATCCTAGAGGACATTAAAGGGTTTTGGGCATCCCCATGCTGTTGAGATGAGCCCTCACCTAACAGGACCCAGCTTTCCTCCAAGAGGTGAAGAGTCAGCCCCACAGCAGCTCAGAGAAAGGGATGGGAATTGGAGCAGAGGCTGTGGCAGTGACAGATTTGTGACCCACAGATTTCTTGGCACACCCCTGCCCCCTGTCCCAGCACTTTGAGGCTGCCCACAGCCACTCCCTGTGCACACTCCCATGAGGGTGCACTGAAATTTCCAAACCACCCCCCAGCACTTGCAGAGGCACCTCTTACATTGACTATGAAAGGCACAACAAACATCACCAGGACCAGCTCCAGCTGAGGGCTTGGGATGTAACCCAGCAGGATCTGCTGAAGCTGCAGAGGAGAAAACATTTAGAACACTTTAGCATTATTTAGAACATTACTTAGAACACTTCAGCATTGTTTGAACAGCTCTGTTGCAAGATCTTTGATGAAAACTGCTTGTCTTCTCACATGAGCAGCCAGAGCTCTTCAACCCAGCTCTTAAAAGATGACACAGGATATTCCCTCAGCCCAGCTGCCAAACACGTGATTTTGTACAGAAACAAGTCTTTCAGTGTAACTATCCATGCCAATAACTGGTGGGACTTCCCTTGGCTCCCTTGGCTCATCTGCAGAACAAGGACACCATCCACGAGCAGTAATCATGGAGAGAGTCCAGCAGCATCTCTGGATCTGGATTGGTGCTGCTGGACAAGTTCACATCCAAGTGTGAGCACTGGGGGCTACTGGGTTTGAAGGACAACCCTTGAAGAGATAAATGCTCCCAGATTGCTGGAGAAAACTCATCAGTCAAGTTACACACAGTGCCTGGCACCTCAGAGCCTGCTGGAAGAGGATTCCAAGCTCTCAGAATTAGGTTTTTACACCCATCACACCTACCTGCCAACAGGTAAGTGGCTAAAAACCCCACAGGTTTTTTTTTTTTTTTTTTTTAAAGATAAACTTCTTATTAACACTGCTGGCATACAGAAGCAGCTGAGCAGGAAAAGACAACACACTACTCATATAGCACTTCTCAAATGAATCTCTAATCCCCCAGTTTAAGCACAGGATCACAAAACACCAACATGGACTGACATGACACAAAAACATAGAAATCCTCTGGCAGAACTGAAGGAGCTCAGCTGCCAGCCCAGCCCTTTTTAGCCTTCCAAGAATGGGAAAGAAAATTAAAACATCATCTTATTCCATTAGTTTTTGACTAGCAAGAGAATGCACCAGAAGCCAGACCATTATGAAAGTCATGATTCCCAAAATTTAAGTAATATCTAATGATTACAGAGTGCTGTCAATAAGTGTGAGGATTAAAGGCCTTCAATAATGGGAACCATGAATCAGGCAAAGCAAAAAGAAACCACAACAGCTACAGCTAGAAAAACATTGCTTACCTTTGTCCAACCAGGGATAAGCAGGACAAGGCTAATCACAGTCTTCTCAAAAACCATTATCAGCAAGTAGAGGATACACTGGCCAATCCAGGCAGCAGCTTGTGGAGGGTCACCTGGAAAAACAGAATATTAAATCTGGGACAGAGGACAGGAGGAGACAGAAAAGTTGTCTCATGCTTGATGCTGACCCTCTTCTCTATAAGGACCAGTCAATACCTGCACACTCTTCTATAAAATAAAGTAAATGCAAATAAAGCATGAAAAATATAAATTGCAATGTGCTCCCTGCCAAGCCTTATCAACACAGCTACCAGAAACAGTTTGAAAATTTCAAGTCACCATTTTCACTACAACAGCATAGCTTGTCAGTGCTGAACAGAATTATTTTATTGTGCTGATGAAGTGAAGGGCTGGTTATATGATACTGTCTGAGCAAGAGACAGGGGCTCCATCACCCCAGCTTTTAAAGCAATTCACTCAAAAATAATCAATGCTAATTAAATATGAATGTTTCCAACGGGGCACTCACCAAGAAATAAGGAAAAGCATATTTGTATTGCTAACAACAATAATGGTTCTGTATCTATTACATGTGCTTACTGCAGTGCCTGCCAGCTGGTTATCACCTCCCCTGGCTCACCAGAATATCTCAGCTTTGCAAAACTGAGCTACCCTATCTGGCTCAGGAAAGCTGCAGCATTTCCTCTTACCACTTACAGACAAAGATAACCCCTGGCAGCACTTGTTCCAGCATAATTTGCCCAGAATTTGGGATTCCATCAGTGCAAGGGAGCCTGTGCAGTTGGCACTGAGATGCCAACACTTGATGTGGTCAGATGCCAGCAGGCTGGGAGACTTTTGCCCACTTTTCCCCACTTTTCAGCACAATTCTGAGATGTGGCAGGGGAAAACAACACCCAGCAGTCTGCAAAGGCACATGAATCCACACCAGTAAAAACCTCTGGCCACAAAACCCAGCAGCACATGCTGGGATTTGGTAAGAGCTGGTGCCCAACCAGCCCCAGCTCTGTGGGGATCAGCTTCCCAGCAAGTGCAAAATGGGATTTAGGTATATTTGTCATTATTCTGTCATTTGTTAGCAACATACCAAAACACCTGTGTTGCAGACATCTTTTAGAAAAAATCTTTTCCTTAAGATTTTTCCTCCTGAGAAGCTGGGAGGCCTCAGGAACAAAATGGAAACTGATTATCTGCTGCTGTGGAATGCAACAGGTGCATCTGTGAATTGGCCCATATTAAATGTTTGTAATTAATGGCCAATCACAGTCAGCTGGCTTCGACAGGGAGCTGCGCCACAAACCTTTGTTATCATTCTTTGCTATTCTATTCTTAGCTAGCCTTCTGATGAAATCCTTTCTTCTATTCTTTTAGTATAGTTTTAATGTAATATATATCATAAAATAATAAATCAGCCTTCTGAAACATGGAGTCAGATCCTCATCTCTTCCCTCAACCTGAGACCCCTGTGAACACCGTCACACACCTGCCTCGTTGCAAAGCTACAGCTACAAAGCAGAGGCATTCTGGTAGTGTCCAAGGCAGGATCCCCTTGTGCCCAAATTCTTAATTGCTCAAGCCATGAGAAGGAAGCCGTGATAGAAATCTTTTCATGAAAAATCCTTTCTTAGGATTTTTCCTTCTGAGAAGCTGAGAGGCCTCAGGAACAAAATGTAAACATTGATTATCTGCTGCTGTGGGAATGCAACAGGTGGATCTGTGATTGGCCTCGTGGTTATTTGTAATTAATGGCCAATCACAGAAGAGCTGGCTCAGACAAAGAGTCTGAGGCAGCCACCTTTGTTATCATTCTCTTCTTTCTATTCTTAGCTTAGCTAGCCGTCTGAGATGAAACCTTTCCTTCTATTCTTTTTAGTGTAGTTTTAATGTAATATATGTAATAAAATAATAAATCAAGCCTTCTGAAACATGGAGTCAGATCCTCATCTCTTCCCTCACCCTAAGACCCCTGTGAACACGGTCACAGGAAGCAAACAAGAGAGGGAAGGAGGGAAGCTGAGGGTGCAGGGGTGAGGAGAGGAAGCACAGAGAGCCAAAGCAGCAGGAACTGCATGGAGGGAAGGCAGGAACAGGGAGCCAGGAAGGTTATGTGGAAGCACACCCAGCAGAGCCTGTGGAGGTTTTGGAGAGAGGAATCTCTGCTCTCTGGCAGGCAGCAGCTTAATGGGTGGTCTGGGAGGAGATGGGAGCAGTGTTGGAGCAGCACAGGCTGGTGTCAGAGAGGCTCTGATCCTCCTAAAAGCCTCTCCCAATAGATTGGGGTGCCTGGCTGCCTTGGGCACACACTCTGGGTCCAGTGAACCTTTTTGCCCCAAAACAAAGCAATTCTCCCAGGAACCCCCACATTATCAGTACGCATCAGAGCTCTGAGCACAAACAAAACAGGAAAACAAACACATCTGTTGTGTCCTTCCTGCATTTGAACTCTTTCCCCTCTGCTGTGTGTTGTCAGCTGTGCTCTGTCCCCCATGGAGGGACAGGGCTGAAGCCACAGCAGCCTTTGTGAGCTGGCTCTCTGTGACAGTGACAGCATTTCCCTCTGTCAGCTCAGCTTGCCCAAAAAGCAGCAGCAGGACTGAGATCTGTCCCAAACACCTTCCCCATTGCAGGGACAGGTCACTGCCATTCCCCACCACAGCCATGGCTCTGTGCTCTGCATTCTCTGCACAGCTCAGGGCAGGTTTTGGCTCACCAGGCCAAAGAAGAGAAAGGAGAAATTAATGTTCTCCTTCTCTTTTCTCACTCCTGTGAAAAATGCATGTATTTTGTGATTGGCTCTTCACAAATATTAAAATGAGTATTATATGTGTTGTGTTAGAAAGTAAATGCTGTATTCATTCTCTTAAGTAGTGTGGTAAATATAGTTTTAGGTTATAAAAAAACTGTTAAAATAGAAACTATGCTATGTAAGATACATTTTTTAAAGAAAGGACTCACAGTGAGACAGCAGCCACAGGACACCTGAATCTTTCAGAGAAAGAGAATTTATTGCCCCATTATCAGAAGAAATGAACTTCCTTCTGCCTCGAAGGTGCTGTTGGGATTCAGAGGAAGAAGCTGACACTGACCAAACAGAATCCTGTGTTTGAATGGAATTTATGCATCATGTATGAGGTGTATGAATATGCAACAGGTTTTTTTTTGAGGGTTAATTCTCTGTTAACGTGGGTCCTTTTTCAGGCTCGTGCTGCCCAGAAAAGATACCCAGACATCCGTAAATCTTTGTTTCTATTGTCCCATATTGTCCTAATTCAAACTGTCTAAATTATTATTACTCTAATTGTATTACTATTTTTTAACCATTTTATTAAACTTTTAAAATTTTAAAAACAAGTGATTGGCATATTTCACAACTCCAAAGGATGCACCCACTGAATTCTGACTGCTCTCCTCCAGCAGCATTCCCAGTGCTCCCTGCACCAGCAAAACTTCCTTGGAGCAGCCCAAGAACCCCTGGAGCCCCTCACAGAAATGTGTCTCAGACCCAGTGGTGCTGGGGAGCAGAGCAGCAGTGCCTGAGGTATTGGAGCTGTTAGCACACAACAGGATTAGTTTTAATCCAGGCTGCCTAATGCACCAAGCTGTCAGCACAGCCCACATGGTACTGCCAGACAGCTTTATTTACACTCTTCTGGGGACTGGTGTGCACAGAGCAGGTAGGAAAAAAAGCTCAATCACAGCCAAAGTGGGGGGTTCAGGGGGTTTGAGGTGAGGCAAGCGTCTGAAAGCAGTGGAAGTTGTACTGGGTGACAGGTGGGGGTAGGAAAAGTCAGTAAAAACTTCTTAAAAGATATTCAGATGGTGTGATGGTGTTTACAAGGGTCTTAGGAGTAGGGAAGAGACAAGGATCTGATTCCATGTTTCAGAAGGCTGATTTATTATTTTATTACATATATTACATTAAAACTATACTAAAAGAATAGAAGAAAGGATTTCATCAGAAGGCTAGCCAAGAATAGAATAAGAAGGAATGATAACAAAGGCTCTGTCTTGGACTCTCTGCCCAAGACAGTTGGGCTGTGATTGGCCATAAATTACAAACAACCACATGAGACCAATCACAGATGCACCTGTTGCATTCCCCCGGCGGCGGTTACCCTTTTTTTCCTTTTTTTTCTTGGGGCTTCCCGGTTTTTCGGGGGAAAAAAACCTAAGGAAAGGATTTTTCATGAAAAGATGTCTGTGACATGACCCTTTGTACTTGGCACTGATAATTGGATCCCCTGTTTTTGGAGGTACCATTTGTGTGTCTCCCCAAGAAGTTTTTATTGATTTTTTCTACCCCCACCTTGTCATCCAGTACAACTTCCACTGCTTTCAAACACTTGCCTCTCCTCAAAGCCCTGCTCAGAGCAAGAGACCCAACCACACACTCAGTCCCTGAGCAGGACCCTCAGCCCTCTCCTCACTTTTCGCCCTTGGCCCCAGGATGGAAAAGCCCAGCAGGCTGAGCACAGCCAGCCCCTCAGGTTAGAGCTATTTCTATTTCCAGCAGTATTTCCTCAGGCATTAGCAGTCAGCTCCCTTGGCTGCTCCAGGACGTGGGAATATTTGTTATGGAAATTTTGTGCAGCATCACCACGGGGCCAGATTCAGCCTACACAGGTCCTCAGTTAAACTCAGCAGCTGGCACAGAGCACATTCTCCTAGAACTATTTGACCAGCAGAGTTCGACAGGCCACTAAACAGACTTTGAAGGCCTCCAAGCAAGATGCCTTTCCATTTCCAGACACCGAACAAAGCATCAGGCTTAGCTAGCCAGTGACCACGGCCACAAGTCAACATCCAGATGGGCATCCAGAGGGACATTTTCCACTGAGAACACTTTTCCTCCCTCTCATTTCTTAATGCTTCTCTAGAAAAACTGACTTGCACACTGCAGGAAATTTCTCAATGCAAATTCATTGCATTTGCTTATTTAAAACAAATACTGGGGTATTTCTAAAGTTATACTGGAGAATTACTGAACACAGTTAAAATTAAAATTGGCACTGCAGCCATACAAAGGTGTTCTCTAGGGAGCTGCTCATTGCCATGGGGAGGGAGAAGAGAGCTGGACCAATTTGGAGATGGGGCACAAAGTTCAGTGATTGATCTCCACACCCTGACTGGAGCCAGCCCATCCCCTGCTCAGTCTGTCCCAGCCCAATAGCATCTCCAAGAACTTGGGTATCCATCTCCCACGTCTTTAGAAGCTTTAACTCTGCTTTGTTCTCCTCCCTGTGATGGTTCCCTACAGGAACAGCTCCTATGACCTTCTACAGCAATGGTGTATTTGTGGAATTTCACAGAATCATCACAGAATGGTTTGGGTTGGAATGGACATTAAAAATATCACCCAGTGCCAAACCCCCTGCCATGGGAGTTTCTCAGGGTCCCATCCAACCTGGCCTCCAACACCTCCAGGGGTAGGAGTTTGTTAGCTCTGAGTAGGTGTGAGCAACCCTCAATCCCCAAAGCCCACCTGTGCCAAGAACACACTGCCCAATCTTTGATCCTGAGGCATCCTGAGAAGAGACAGCACTTTCCAAAATGCAGTTTCCTGTGCTTAGAGGCAGTTCAGAAAGTAATCAGGAGCTTTTGGGCAAAAGATGGAGGAACATGAGCAAACAGGAGCCTTTGATTCCTCACTAGCTGTAAAACAGGTCATTCCTGGCTGCAATTTGGCCATGAGCTCAGGCACAAGAGAGGCTGATCTCAGAATGCCTGTTCCTGGCTTTTAAAAATATGGAAATATTTGATTTTTCTAAACAATTCTGGACAGCTGGAAGCTTAAAATAGCAGCATAGATTTAGGTGCTTTCCCTCCCCTTTACTTTACTTTACTTCCCCATTAATGCAGCTCTTGCAGCTGCACAGGGGGAGCCAGCCAGGGCTGTGGAGGCAGGAGAAGCAACCAGAGAGCAGCAGGAACTGCTGCAGCCCACACCAAAGGACAGCTGCAGTGCTTTGCATCAGCTGCAGGGCTGCTGGAAGGACACAGCTGTGACAGATTTATTTTTTCCCCCTCCAAATTGATGCAGAATATGGGTACAGGCTCTACTGGACAACCCTGCTGTTCTGATGGCTGCAGCAATGGCACTGACTGCTGTTTGCAACATGGATTTTGTGCTCCCCTGGCTTTCTCCTCTGCAGGACTTATGTTGCTTCCCTCAATTCTCCTGAGGAGCAGAAGTCTGGTACAGCAATTAGCCCAGCAAATGAATCATGTTCCTGGAGCCTGCATCAAACTGTACAAAGTTTACAAGCGTCTTCCCAACTGTTTTGGAAGTTACTTAACAGCAGAGATTAGGGCAGGAGTGTTTTCCTTCCCCAGCCCTGCCACAGGATTGCCTTGGACATGTCACTTGGCTGTCCCACCTGTATTTTCCACTGGGGCCACTCTGCCAGAGACCTGCACCAAAAACTGCACTTGATGGATGAGATATTTAACCCCCAATCCAAGAACCAAATTCAAGTAACAGCACAAACTTGTTTTTCACTAATGAAAGCAAGATTTTCTCAAAGGACTGAGCTGTTTCTGTGGTCTAAGCCAGCCCTAGTGAGGGGCCAGCTACAGCTCAACAGAAGTTCATCCCTGCTCTGCCAAGACACTTTTCATGTTTTTTGCTTCTGCTCAACTGCAGACGTGGCACACAAAGCTGAAGCTGTGTCTGAGGTGCTTGGGCTTCCAGTTCTTGTTGCTCCAAAGGGGAAAAACTCCAGTTCCTGAACTAAGAAT